GGGGGGGGGGGGAGAAGGAGAAGGGAATCCAGAAGAAAAGAGGCTTTGTTTTTCTTTTTTAATTGCTGGAAACTGGGTCTGCAATCATACTGGTCCAACTCTGTGGCCGACCTAGTAAGCTTAGGTGTCATCTTGGCTTGAGTCTACAACCACCTTAAAGTCTCGTGGTCTGAATAAACTTTGAAGTGCCTCCCAAGCAAGTAATGCTTCCAGTGATCTAATGCTTGCCTGAGAGCGCAGAGTTCCCTTTCATAAGTTGATGTCGCCACCTTTTCTGAAGGCATCTTGGCGGACATGAACTCTACGGGCCTATATCCATTCTATCATCTTGCTGTAAAACAGTGCCTATGCCATACTGACCGGCGTCAGTGGTAACAACAAATGACAAGGACGGATCGGCTACCTTAAGGACTGGATATTCTATCAGGGCCCACTTCAATCTCTTCAGGGCAGCTGTGCAGTCCTTGTCCCGCTTCCAAATAGCCTCTTTATTTAGCAACCTGCGAAGGGGTGCCGCGATGGTGGAGAAGTTCCTTACGAACTTCCTATAGTAATTAGCTAGGCCTAAGAACGACCACAACTCTGTCAGTGTGAGGGGCGTTGGCCAATCTCTAATCGCTGCGATTTTGCTGGCTTTAGGTTTAACGCCGTCTCCGTCTAAGACGTGGCCTAGGTACAAAACCTGTGTCTTGGCCCACTCGCACTTCTTTGCGTTGATCTTGAAGTTAGCCTCTCTAAGCTTCTCCAAGACCTGCCTCAGATGGCCCTCATGCTCTTGGAGGGTCTTACTGAACACTAGAATATATATACATGACTGCGGACGTCCGTGAACTTGAATGCCTTATTCGGCGATTTCAACACGTCCGACAACGATATACTGCTCATTCCCGTGACACCTTTGGAAACTTCATCAGAATTGTGCATATGCATGAGATCCTGAAGGCTACTAAGTTGCGCCATGTGTTGCATTCTCCGGATGTGTGTGCATTACACCCCGACCCCCAGGCAGCTAGCAGCATTCGCATCTGTGACAAACTCGTGCCCCCAACAAGGGTACAATTCTGGAATTTTACGGAAGTGGCCTTGAGTGTCACTCCGAACCTGTGCCAACCTGCTGCTGATGATTGCCCTTGTCGTCGGGCGTTTCCTAACTGCACCGATCTGCCGATCTGGTTGACGGCCATGTTGTTTCCGCCAACTATGATCTGATTCCGGATGCTAACCTTCGTCGCCTGTTCTATGAGGGCTCAAAATATCGGCTGAATGGGGTAGTGGGAGATATACTTGAAGCATCGGCTGTTGGTATTGATGAGTATATTGCTGCGTATCTTCGTCCAACAGCACGACAATCCTGTGCTGCTACCCTAGCCCCACAATTGGCTAATTGGCGTGCTGCAGTCTTGCGTCACTGTGAGTGCAACATGACTACCGCATCACCATTGCGACAGCCTCGCTCTTTGGGGCACGCGCATATGGCCCTGCGTCAGCTTCAAGAATCCTTTGCGATTGTTCTTGTGGACAAAACATCACATAATTTGGCTGTTTGCTGTAAAAATTGGTACAAATTCAAACTGTCAAGCCACCTTGACAGTCCTACGTATTCTCGGCCTGCTGAATCAGTGGCTGACATTCTSAATAGCCATGCAGTTTGGAACAATCATTGGAATTATCCTCATGCTGACACATTGCCGTATCTCTATTGTGTTCTTAAGGCCCATAAATCTCCTCCCACACTYCGTCCTATTCTTGGTATCACTGCCCGAAACAATCTTTCTTCTTCCTCTTCCCATACGGCCCGGCGAAGTAACCTACACCCTTCCCAACGAGTCCAACGTTTGCATCACCGACCACCTCACAAGCCGGTAGCTAGTACAACGCCTACTTCGGCTCGTTTGAGTACAACACTTCAAGGCGTCATCCGTACTCTTCGCGAAAAAGATAATCAACTCTTTCGAACCGAAGGTATACGACGATGTTGGATTGTTCAGAGCAGTGACGAGGTCATGMTTGACCTCAAAAAGAATAAAGCTTCTCTTAGAGGTCTGGCCCCGCAYATAGTTGATTTCACTACTATGTATACTAATCTTTCTCATCAACGAATTCTTGACA